GCTTGCTTTGCCACCCAGCTTATCGAGTGTGCATCTGGTATTTCATATTTCTATGCTCCGGAAGTATATTGGGGATCCGTCTCATGTTCTGGATTTCAGCACGGTCCAGTTGGATGGTGATTTGACTTATGATGTGGAGCCAGTGGCTATTTTGGAGCGTCAGGTTCGAAAGTTGAGGTCAAAGGATATAGCTTCAGTGAAAGTGCAGTGGAGAGGTCGGCCCATGGAGGAGGCTACCTGGAAGACCGAGCGAAAGATGCGGAGCAGATATCCTCACCTATTTGAGGCTTCAGGTATGTTTCTTGACCCGTTCGAGGACGAACGTTTGTTTAAGAGGAGGAGGATGTAATGACCCGGCCGGTCATTTCATGTGTTACCGCTCCGTTTCCCCCATTCCTGCTTCTTATTATCTTGTTTAGCTGTAATATGTGTCGTCGGGTTGGTTCGCTCGGGTTCGGAGAGGTTTTGGTCAGTTTTGAGACACTTAGTCTCTATTGAGTAAGCTTAAGTTGGAAAAGTCAACCGGATGTTGACTTATGTGAAAAGGGGCTCGGATGAATTCCGATGATTCGGATAGCTTTGGGAGGTGATTTGGGACTTAGGAGCGTGATCGGAATGTGTTTTGGAGGTCCGTAGTAGATTTACTTTTGAATTGGCGAAATTGGAATCTTGGCGTTTTCCGGTTGATAGGTGAGATTTGGATATAGGGGTCGGAATGGAATTCCGGAAGTTGGAGCAGGTTCGTTGTGCCATATGTGATGTGTGTGCAAAATTTCAGGTCATTCGGACGAGGTTTAATGGAGTTTTGATCAAAAGTGGATTCAGAAGTTTTTGGAACCTTAGGCTTGAACCCGATGTTATTTGCTTGATTCAATGTTATTTTAGGTGTTTTGAAGATTGGTATAAGTTTGGATAGGGGAATGTGACCTATTCGTGCTTTTGGTTGAGGTCCCGGGGGCCTCGGGGTAATTTCGGATGGTTGACGGGAAGTTGGAGTTGGAAAGTTGCAGCTGAAGCTGCTGAAGTCTGTCATAACCACACCTGCTGCTTGGGGACCGCAGGTGCGGGCTCGCAGAAACGCCCAGAGGGTCGCAGATGCGGAAATGGCCATGGGGAGCGGGAACCGCAGAAGCGGCTGTTCGAGCGCACCTGCGATAGCGCAGGTGCGGGATCTGATCGCAGGTGCGGTCTTTGAGCGTTTAAGTGATTTGCATAGAAGCTCACCTGGGATCGCTGGTGCGGGTCCGCAGGTGCGTGATTTGTACCGCAGAAGCGGTTTAGCTGGGGCAGAACATATAAATTACAGACTTCGCGTTTTTCAGCCTTTCTTCACCATTTTTAAATCGATTTTGGAGTTTTTTTGGGAGATTTTGAAGAGGGAATTCAAGGGAACTTCGTTGAGGTAATATTATTGAACATAAAACTCGTTCCTATCGTGTTATGTCATTGATTAGGCTTGAAATTTATGGAAATTGTGGGTAAATATTGAAGAAACTAAGGCTTGAAATTGGAGACCTAGAATTTGGGGATTTCGGGGGGGGGGGGGGGTCATTTGTGGTTGGATTTTGGTAAATTTGATATGCATGAACTCGTGGGAAGATAAGGATTCCACTGATGTTAATTTTGTCGGATTCCGAGACGTGGGCCCGGGGGTCGGGATTGGTCAATTTCGGGATTTTTGTTGTAAATTGATTAATTTCGTATAGGTTTCACCCCTTTAGCATATATTGATGGTTATGAACTGATTTTGGATAGATTTGATGCGTGTTGAGGCCGATTCGAGAGGCAAAGGCATCGCGGGCTAGAGTTTGGACCGGATTGAGGTAAGTAATGATTGTAAATGTTGTCCTGAGGGTATTAAACCCCAGATTTCACTTCGTTTTGCTATTTTGAGGTGACGCATACGCTAGGCGACGAGCGTGGGGTTGTGCACCGTTGGGGATTGTGACTTGGTCCGTCCCGTACTACTATTAAGTCGCGTATTTTACTTGAAAACTGTTTGATATTAATATATCTTGGAAAATATCATTGTGTTTGGGGCTAAACGCCGTGTCTGGGCCTTGTGCCGGTTGTTTGGACCCTTAGGGGCCTTTATTACTGTTTTTCCTCACTGTTTTGGTTTAAATGTTTACACTCAGTCATGCTATGTTCTTACTGTTTTCATAACTCGATTTTATTCACTCCTTTTGAATTCATAAATGATTTTTGAGCCGAGTACTTGTTTTACTGTCAGCCCGAGGGGCTTGAGTGAGATCTGATTGAGTGAGGCCGAGGGCCTATGTTGTGAGGATATTGTGATATATTGTGAGGCCGAGTACCTGATGGATCTGTGCCACGAGGTGGCTTGTGATAGCGCTTGGGCTGTAAGGAGCCCCTCCTGGAGTCTGTACACCTCCAGTGAGCGCGGGTACCCAGTGTGAGATATGATATTGCCCGAGGGGCGATTGTTGTTCAGGTTATTGCCCGAGGGGCTGATACGAGTGGTTGTGAGATAGCCCGAGGGGCTGGTTCTGTTGGTATGTTGCCCGAGGGGCTGATTTATATTCTATCCTTTTCTTCCTGTTTTCTTCAATCATCTGAACTACTGAAAGATGTTTTAAAGAGGTTTTCACTGAACTAAGGTGTTTTTATGAGCTTTTACTGTTGTATTTCATTGTTCTGGTTTATACAGCTTTGCTGTATGCTGTGACTTACGTGTTTTCTTATCGCTCAGTTGCCTTTACTTTTATTACTTACTGAGTTGGCATACTCACATTACTCCTTGCACTCTGTGTGCAGATTCAAGAGTCTCGGGTCACTGTAGCGAGGTCTGAATTGCTTTCCAGCAGGCTTGTTCGGAGTTGACTAGGTAGCTGCTCGGCGTCCGCAGCCCAATGCTTCTCCTTCCTATCTTTATTTCACTTGTCCTAGCTTTGTGTTAGACTATGTTGTCTTTTCTTACTCTTAGACGGATTTTAGATGCTCATGACTGGTGACATCCCGATGTCGGGCTGTGTTTGTTTCCGCACTGTTCTATTCTACACTTTATTTTGGGGTTTATAGCTTATTAATTACTTAAAATGAATTATTATAACTGCTTATTTGATTTGGGGGTTTGTGTTGGATGGCCTTGTTTCACGATAGGCGCCATCACAACCATGGTTAGATTTTGGATCGTGACAGTCCCAAATGACATAACGGAGCTGTTACAACTTTCGGAATCGCATTTCGACCCCGATAACACAAATGTCAACTATGGGTCAAACCTCTCCATTTTTCAAACTTCAACTTTTACCAACTTTCGCCGAAATGCCTCAAATTACCCTACGTGCCTCCAAATCCAAATCCGAACGCTCGCCTAAGTCCAAAATCACCATATGAAGCTACTGAGATCATTCAAAACTCATTTGGAGTCGTTTACTCAAAACAAATTCTGGTCAAATTCTCACCGCTTAAGCTTCCAAAACTAGATTCCTTCTTCCAATTCGACTCTGATTCATCCGGAAACAGAATCCAACCATGCACACAAGTCGATACACATAATATGAAGCTGCTCGTGACCTCAAACTGCCGAACCGGACGCTATTGCTCAAAATGACCAGCCAGGTCGTTACAGTAAGATATTATTTAACCTTGAATAAAATGACAAATGCAATACAATTGTAAAATATATAGGCTATCATTGCAAGATTGTGCAAATGGCCTAAAAATACTAATATAACTATATAAAATAAAGTAAAACTATATGAAACATGTATTATGGATGCAAATGATAATTTAGGATTAAGTCATCACAAGATAATTTAAAGGAGTTATTAATAATTATTCAGTGATTTAAATACTGGAAAATCAATTTTAAAGCTTTAAAAATTATAGAAAATGCTTGTAAATATTTGTAAACTAAATAACAATGCAAAAATGATGTTTTGGAAGTATATATATTATTTGAGAAAATATGAGGGCAAAATTGGGTATTAACAGTAAGCTGTTAAATGATATGACTGAAATTGAAATCACATTTGTGAAGAAGAACTTGTCACTTTCTATTATTGAGCTTTTAGTATTGTTTATGATATACATGCTTAGCATAACTCTTTAATTATATTACTGTTAGCCCATAGTAAGTGTCTAAATCGACCCCTCATCACTACTTTTTCGAGGTTAGACTGGATACTTACTGGGTACATGTTGTTTATGTACTCATACTACACTTCTGTACTTAATTGTACAGGATCTGATGCAGGTGCATCTACTTACCCGTCTGGCGCCCGTAGTTGATCCCCACTTCGAGACTTCACGGTGAGCTGCCTTTCGAGTCGTCTACAGCAGCTGGTGTCTTCCTTATGTTTTACTTTTCTGTCTATTTCCTCTAAAACAGTAGGCTAGCAATATTCTTTTATATATTCTACTAGATTGCCCACACACTCGTAAGACCCGGACTTGGCACACTCATTAGTAGACTTACGATTTTGGGTTTGCTTACATGATTCTGATTAGTACTTATTGCTTCCGCTTATTTATTTTGCACCTGCAAATTTTTAAATCTTTTTAACAAATAAGGAAATGTTACTACTTAATAATTTACTTAAACTGGAAACCACTAGTTGATCGGTGTTGGCTTTCCTAACAAGGGTGTTGGGCGCCATCACGGCCTATAATGGAATTGGGTCGTGACTAGTTGGATGTGAACAATGCATTCCTCCATGGAGACCTCCATGAAGAAGTGTACATGGAAGTGCCATCAGGGCTGGTTGTGGAGAGACCAGGTTTAGTGTGCAAATTAAACAAGTCCCTGTATGGACTCAAGCAAGCCACCAGACAGTGGTATGAGAAATTAACTAAAGCATTATGTTCTAGAGGGTATACTCACTCAATTCTTGGTTGCTCTCTCTTCTATAAGAAGTATGAGGATCAATAGTGTTTGTGGCTATCTATGTAGATGATGTTCTTGTCACAGGCACTCACCTGCAAGAGATTGAGTTCTGAAGAACTTCCTGCACAACACATTCAAGATAAAAAACATGGGGAGTATTCATTACTTCCTAGGTTTAGAGGTCCAATACACAGACAAAAGAGTTTTGATGTCACAGAAGAAGTTCACTATGGATCTTGTAAAAGAATTTGACTGTATAGATTGTCCTCCTATGACTTCTCATCTGGATTCATCTACGAAGTTAAAAGCTGATGAAGGAGCCCTATTAACAGATCCTTCCTATTACAGGAAGTTGATTGGAAAGCTCAACTTCCTCACTAATACTAGGCTAGACATTGCTTATAGTGTACAACATCTCAGTCATTTCATGCAAAGTCCCAGGGAGCCACATTTAAAGGCTACATATCATGTCCTAAGGTACTTGAAAGGTGATCCAAACTTGGGAATTTTCCTTACTAATGATGCAGATTACAGAGTGAAAGCCTTCTGTGATTCAGATTGGGCTATTTTTCTCCAATTCAGAAAATCAGTCAGTGGCTAAATAGTATTACTTGGGAACAGCCTCATCAGTTGGAAATCTAAGAAGAAGTCCACCATTTCCTTATCCTCTACAGAAGCTGAGTACAGATCGGCTAGGATGGTTGTTGGAGAACTTGTCTGGCTGGCCAGGCTTCTTACTGAGCTCACTATTCCTCTATCCTTACCCATTCTCGTATTATGCGACTGTCACGCTACCCTACACATAGCAAGGAATTCTGTGTTCCATGATCATACGAAACATATTGAAGTGGACTACCATTTTGTGCGAGACCGGTTTCAGGAAGGATTGATTTCCCTATACCACATTTCTACTAATAACCAATTAGCTGATATTTTCACCAAGTTTTTATTAGGAATCAAACATTATGCACTTCTTGTCAAGTTAGCAGTGAGCCCCTCACCTCCAACTTGGGGGGGGGGGTGTTGAGATTACTCATTGTATTGTATTTATTCTTTTATTCATTACTTGTACAGCAGTTATAGTAATTAGTGGAATTAGTTAGTAGTTAGTGGAATTTGTTAGTGAGCTGCCATTAGTTAGTTGGCTAGGCTAGAAGTTAGTATATTCTATAAGTAAGGATACTAATTGTATTTTTCAGTTGAGTTGTTGAAATGAAAAACCCAGCTCCCTTTCTAGCTCCCACTGAACTTGTGTTTTTTCCATTGCTTTTACAATTTCACAAGTTTCTTCATATGTAGGTCAATTGACAAAATTATATTAAAGTATTATGCTTATACTTCTGGTTATTAATTGATTTTTTTCATTCAAGGTTTGCTTTATTGCTTTGCATAATACCTTGTTATCCCACCAAGTGATATTAGTGCTAATGATTTAGAGTGAGATTGAAGACAAGTTCAAGAGGCCAGATCAAGTTGTAGCCTATTAGGCAATAATGGAGATTTTGATCCAAAATAGATGTCCAGAATACTACATATAGAGACAAATTTTTTACCATATATTTAAAATTCCTTGTTGATGCATCTTTAAAAATAAAATTATTGGGCTCAACTTTTCAACCCATGGTTACTTTGACGTATGGGCTTCAATTTTAACCCTTGATTACCTTTAATGCATAGGCTCCACTTTCAACTCTGCCCATTTTTAACGCATGGCTCCACTTTAACCTGCTCACTTTTGGCGCACGACTTCAATTTTTATAACTTGTGCTCACTTTTAATGTACAAAGCTTTAAACATACATCTACTTATAATCATGTCAAGCAGTAATGATAAAGATTATATGAAAAAAGTGAATCAAGTTTATTTTGCCCGAAAATTCAGGTTAAAAGGAAGAATTGTTAGGATTTGCCCTAATTTCTTACCTTATGTGAATTTTATCTGTTACTTGAAGAAAGAGTAAAATATTTTCCATAACTAATATTAATTTTCATATAAGGAAAAGAGAGATCTTTTTCATATTTGACAGAACCATTCCTTAGAGAAATTTTTTTAAAACCCTATAATTGAGGATTTTAGCCGAGGCTCTATCGAAAACAACCTCTTTGCTCTCTCAGGGTAGGGGTAAGATCTGCGTATACACTACCCTCTTCAAAATCCACTTGTGGGAACTTACTGAGTTTGTTGTTCTAACGACCCGATCGGTTATTTGGAGCTCTAACGCGTCGTTCAGCAGTTTGAGACCATGAGCAGCTTCATTTCAGGTATTATGACTTGTACGCATGGTCGGAATTGAATTCCGGGAAGTTCAGAGTTGATTTGGAAAGAGAATTCTCATTTCGGAAGCTTTAAGTTGAATGAATTGACTAAGATTGGATTTTTGAGTAAACGACCTCGGAATCGGGATGATGATTTCGGACTTGGGCGTATGTCCGGATCGATTTTGAAAGACTCGGCAACGTTTTAGCACCTATTGTGGAAGTTAGCATTCTGGAAGAATATCATAAATTTGGGATGAAGTGCATTTCAGTGTTATCAATGTCCGTTTGGGATTCCAAGTCTGGGAATAGCTCCGTATGGTGATTCTGGTATAGGGAGCGCGATCGGAAGTGAATCCGGAGGTCTGTAGGTCCTTTTGGAGTCATTTGGCTAAAGATAGAAATTTGAAGGTTTCTGAGAGGTTTGACCGGAAGTGAACTTTTTACTATCGGGTCAGATTCCGATTCCGAAAATTGGAATAGGTCCGTAATGTTGAATATGACTTGTGTGAAAAATTTGAGGTCAATCGGACGTGATTTGATAAGTTTCAGCATCGAATGTAGAAGTTTGAAGTTCTAAAGTTCATAAAGTTCGAATTGAGGTGTGATTCGTGATTTCGGTGTTGTTTGATGTGATTTGAGGCCTCGAGAAGGTCCGCATTATGTTTTGGGACTGGTTGGCATGATTGGTTGGGGTCCCGGGGGCCTCGGGTGGATTCCGGATGGTTAACAGATCAAATTTGGAGTTTGAAGAAGGGCTTCAGCAGCTGATATCTGGTGTAACCGCACCTGCGAGGTTTAGGCTGCAGGTGTGGAGCCGCGAAGCGGCCAAAGGAGCTCAGATGTGGTTGAGAAGGGAGAAGGCTGGGACTGCAGATGCGGTCAAGTCGCCGCAGAAGCGAGACCGCACCTGCGGAAGGAGGAGCGTAGAAGCGAAAATAGGGGGCCCGATAAAGGACCGCAGATGCGGCAGTGGGGCCGCACCTGCGGAACCGTAGAAGCGGTCAATTGACCGCAGGTGCGGAAAGGCTGGAGACAATGTGTTCTTATAAAATCTGGAGTTGGTCACTTTTCTCCCATTTTCATTTGGTGTGGACGATTTTGGAGAGCTTCAAGGGGAAATGTTCTTCAAGTATCTCAAGGTAAGTTGTTCCCGCTCATTACAAGTTAAATACATGATTTAGATATGGATTTGAACATGGAAAGTTAGTGGAAAACTCGGGGTTTGAGGAAAAACCTAGAAATTTAGTATTTTTGGATTTTTACCACGATTTTGGGCATGAAATTGAGAGTAAATTATATATTTGAGTTCGTAAGGTTATGGGTAAACTTTTTCTTCGAAAAATTTCGAAATCCGGCCACGTGGGCCCGAGGGCATTTTTGTCAACTTTTCGATCGGCGTTATGAATTGTTATAAATTGGATCATTAGGAGTATTTGAGCATAAATTAATGGATTTGTATAATTATTGGCTAGTTTTGGAGCATTGTGCGTCGATTTGAGTCTTCGGAAGGGCGTGGAATGCCGGTTATGAAACTTCGGAGCGAGGTGGGTCTCCTTTCTAACCTTGTAAGAGGGAATTGTCCTCATAGGTGAGTTAATTGGTTATGTGCTCCTATTTGTGGGGGCTACGTACGCACGAGGTGATGAGAGTTCGTGCGTAGCTACTATTATACGTATGTCCGGGTAGTCTAGGACCCAAAAGCATGCTTACTTGTAATAAATGCAATCTTGTTGACAAATTTAAAAATGTTTAAACATATCGAACATGTAAATGAATTTCTAAAAGACTAGATATCCTTTCTTGACTTTTAAAAGAGAAACTTGCCTTTTCCTGAAAAATTGCTCCTTGATGAATTATTGACTTGACTATTTGAATGTGTTTATCTGTTGTGAAACAGGCCAAACGCCTCGATAGATTAAATAGATGCATCTATGGTTCGCGTCGTTCGACCCTCTGGCAGTGCACAGTTTACATATTGTTGGATCGGGCCTTACAACCTCGGCATGATTTGCGCATGCTTGTATTGCTTGCCTTAAAATTTATTGAAGTTGATATTATTTCTTCTCGGTTTGAGAATATATGTATAAATGATGAAAAAGAAATTTGGGAATTTCCTATAAAAGAAAGAATCGTTTACTAGCTTCATTCTATTGAATTACAATCATGTTTATATAAACCCTCGATTAATTATATTATTGACATATCACTATTGGACAACTAGTAAGTGTCGAAGTCGACCCCTCGTCTCTAATTCTTCGAGATTAGGCGGGATACTTATTAAGTACACGTTGTTTTCGTACTCATGCTACACTTGTTGTGCATTTTTGTTGCACAGGCACCTGTATTTCTAGTGGCCTACTGGGCGTAGCAGCATGGATGATACGGGGACTACGTGGGCTGCATTTCTCGAGGCGACCTGCAGCTAGTATAGTCTCTTTCAGCATATTGTATTTACTTTCTGTCCAATTTGTATTCCGGGCAGTTATTGTACTTTATTTGATTCCTTAGTAATTGCTCATGCACTTGTGACACCGGGTTCTAGGATGATTATGGGGTATTCTGTTATAACTTCTAAATATTCTTTATTTATTTTGTAAAGATTATCTTTTACTAGCCAAATTGAAAGAAAATCATAGTTTTCCACAATTATTTAAATGAGAATTTAATTAAGTATTTATGGTTGGCTTGCCTAACCACGTTGTCCGGCGCCATCACGACCCTTAGTGAATTTTGGCTCATGACAACATGGTATCAGAGCACTAGGTTCCCTTAGGTCTCACAAGTCATGAGCAAGTCCAGTAGAGTCTCGCGGATCGGTACGGAGACGTCTGTACTTGTCTTCGGGAGGCTACAGGGCTGTTAGGAGTACTTCCCTTCTTGATTACTCATCGTGCGGTTTGATTCCTTTGAGGCTCATTCCTTTATTTCCTTCCTACTCAATCTTATGCAATGTGAAGCGCTTATTATAAATCAGGAATTGAGAAATTTTTAAGGTACTATAGAGGTGGTGTGGGATGCTTCTCCCGACGTAGTTGATTTGACTATTGTCGTCGCCTTGTGGAAGGACATTCTGTCGTTTCAGCTCAGTAGTTGTACTTCTGAGAGCTCTGAGGCTAGGTACAAGTTGCCATGATGCTTATGAACGGTTGTCGCGCAGTATTGATATGATGGTAGGATGCTTGCCTACGTGTCGGGGCAGTGAATGACTCGAAGGGAGGTTTACTCAGTGCGTGATTTAGAGATTCGGTATTTTATTCCCGGCGAGGGAAAGGCAATCGGGCTAAGAATGTTCAAATTTGGGTTGATGGAGTAACAAGGTATTTGCGAGCGTGGTAGAATTTTC